CCAGGTTCTGCACCCGGGCAGCAATATCTTTCCACAGTGCAGCAGCCCAGATGGGTTTACCTCTGCGTTGCCAGTTGCTCTGCTTCCATTGCTTCAACCACCCCCACAGGGCATTTGCCACCATCCATGAGTCAGTATAGAGATAAAGTACTGGCCACTTTTCTCCAAAAGCCGAGGGGTCGACCTCGAGTCTCCCCTGGAGCTTTCTGCCAGAGGCTCCAGGTAGGACCGTTCTCCCCAGCTGCAGTGTACAGCACATTTTTTACATCTGGCCCGGTCCGGACTGGTCCAAGGGCTACTGCATGAACTATCTCGCGTTTAATTTGCTCAAAGGCTTGTTGCTGCTCAGGGCCCCATTTAAAATCATTCTTCTTCCGGGTCACATGATAGAGAGGGCTTACAATCGAACTGTAATTTGGGATGTGCATTCTCCAGAACCCCACTGCACCCAAGAAAGCTTGCGTTTCTTTCTTATTAGTTGGTGGAGACATTGCTGTTATCTTGTTGATCACATCTGTGGGGATCTGTCTACGTCCATCTTGCCATTTTATTCCCAAAAATTGAATCTCCTGTGCAGGTCCCTTGACCTTACTCCGTTTTATGGCAAAACCGGCTTTCAGCAGGATTTGGATTATTTTCCTCCCTTTCTCAAAGACTTCTTCCGCTGTATCGCCCCACACAATAATGTCATCAATGTATTGCAGGTGTTCTGGAGCTTGCCCCTGTTCCAGTGCAGTCTGGATCAGTCCATGGCAAATGGTAGGGCTGTGTTTCCACCCCTGCGGCAGTCGGTTCCAAGTGAACTGGACACCCCTCCAAGTAAAAGCAAACTGTGGCCTGCACTCTGCTGCCAAAGGAATGGAGAAAAATGCATTGGCAATATCAATCGTGGCATACCACTTGGCTGCCTTTGACTCTAGTTCATACTGAAGTTCTAGCATGTCCGGTACGGCAGCACTCAATGGTGGTGTGACTTCATTCAGGCCACGATAGTCTACTGTTAGTCTCCATTCTCCATTAGACTTTCGCACTGGCCATATGGGGCTATTGAAGGGTGAGCGGGTCCTGCTGATCACCCCCTGACTCTCCAGTCTACGGATCAGCTGATGGATGGGAATCAGGGAGTCTCGGTTGGTGCGATATTGCCGCCGGTGCACTGTTGTGGTCGCAACTGGCACTTGTTGTTCTTCAACTTTCAGCAACCCCACAGCAGAGGGATCTTCTGAGAGACCAGGCAAGGTGGACAGCTGCTCAATTTCCTCAGTCTCCAAAGCAGCAATACCAAAAGCCCACCGGTACCCTTTTGGGTCTTTGAAGTACCCTCTCTTGAGGTAGTCTATGCCGAGGATGCATGGAGCCTCTGGACCAGTCACAATAGGGTGCTTTTGCCACTCCCTCCCAGTCAGGCTGATTTCAGCCTCCAGCACAGTCAACTCTTGGGATCCTCCTGTTACTCCAGAAATATAGATGGGTTCCACCCCTTGACAGCTTGATGGCATCAGGGTACACTGTGCACCGGTATCTACTAGAGCCTTATACTTCTGTGGGACTGATGTGCCAGGCCATCTGATCCACACAGTCCAGTAAATCCGATTGTCCCCTACCTCCACCTGGCTGGAGGCAGGGCCCCTCTAATGGTCGTCACAGCATTGGACACTTAAGTCGTGTTGAAAGGGATTATTCTTCGTTATCACAGGAGCTGGAGTAAAATCAGCTCTTCCACTCCATCTGGGAAACTGCTCACCAGAGACTGAAGCCGTAGCTCTCATGGGACGATCAGTCTTGGCCCTTGCTCCCCTCTTCAGTTCACTCACCCGTTCCTCCAAAGCTGAAGTAGGTTTTCCATCCCACTTTGTCATGTCTTCTCCGTGATCCAGCAGGTAAAACCATAGGGTACCCCGTGGCGTATACCTTCTGTATCTCCTCTCTTGAATAATAGGACGTCTTTTGTTAATAGCTGAGACGTGTGTTGGTACACGTGAGGAGCTGGATAAATCAGATACATCGTCCCTCAATTTGTCGAGGTCCTGGGACAGTTTTTTCACAGCTGAGATGATGGAAGGAGTGAGATTGTCTTCGAACTCTCGGAGTTTATGAACCATTTCATCCACTGTTAGTGGTACTATGTCATTCCAGGTCACTGTTGCCAATGAATGGGCATATGATGACGGTGCATTCCGTGTAAGTTTTCGCCACATGGGTCGTGTACATTCAACTTCATCTGGATCTATAGGTGTATCCCCGTTATTCGGCTTGATGTGATAGATCATCTCTACGATGGCCGATTCCCTCAGAGACTGGATGCCTTTGTCTATAGTAGTCCACTTGGCCGAACAACTCGTAACATCGTCCTTGTACGGAAACCTTTCTTTCACAGCTGCCAAGAGCCTCCTCCAAAGGCTGAGGGACTTTTTCTCTCTTGCAATTGCTTTGTCAATTCCCCCTTCTCTAGCAAGTGATCCCAGCTGCTTGGCTTCTGTACCTTCTAGTTCGTGACCATCGGCCCCATTGTCCCAGCATCGGAGTAACCAGGTGATGATGTGCTCCCCTGGTTGACGGGTAAAATCTTTTCGCATATTCCGCAGCTCGGTTGAAGTCCGAGGTCGAGAAGTTACCTCTTCTTCGTCATGTGATGATGACTCCTGATCAGATTCTGGACCGGGTGGTGAATTCATTGGTTCTTCATCTCGCTTCACCCTTTTTGCCTCCTTTTTGCTTGTTCTCTTGCGTACAGGGGCAACTGATATTGGTATGAATTGGTCCTCTGGTTTGGCTGCAGTGATTATCACTGTGGTTTGAGTAGCGACTGTACTTGTTGCTGGGGGTGGTGTAGCTACCGTGCTTGGAGCTGGGGTAACCGCGCTGCCTGTTGCAGTTGAAGTTTGAGCAGCTGCTGTACTTGCCACTGGAGTAGCTGCGCAGTTCATTGCAGCCAAAGTTTGAGTAGCGACTGTCGCTTTGCCCTCAAATCCGCCGATATTCTTTTCCTTTTGAAGGTGCTGGATAGTGTTGAACAAGGCCCTGTAAGCATAGGCCAAGCCCCAGCACGTTGCCGTGATTTGTCCATCTCTGGTATGGCCAGAATGACCACACACCTCATTTAAGTGTTTTACTAATTCTTCTGGATTTTGCAGTTGTTCGGTAGTGAAATTCCAAAATACTGGAGGGGCCCACTGACCTAGATACTTGCCCATACTATCCCACACACCCTGCCACTCATGGCTGTCCAGCCTCAGGGAAAATCTCTCGGTCCTCCTACATCGTCTTTTGACCCCAGACAAGACCCAAACCTGAATCTGCTTAACTCTTGAAATCAGTAGTGGGCAAAACACACTCTGTATGCGTGTTAGCATGGTGATTCCCATCACCATCAGCAAACAAGTCTCAACAGCATTAAAAGGCCATTCAAAAAATTCAAAACTCTCAAATGTAAATGGTCTGGGGGGACGACTAGGAGGGTAAAAGGATGTCTCCTTCACAGGTTGAGCACCTGAGAAGGAGAAAAAAGATGTGTAATTGCTAAGCACCTCCATCATATACCTCCCAAAGTATAAAGGTGGTGACCACACTGGGAACATAAACCAGATCAGTTTCATGATCAATGATTCTATTGTATTACAAGTCATTACCATAAAGTACAATGGGATAAAAACCTTAGCCCAAGCCCCACACTTGAAAAACACTAATACAGCCAATACCGGATGGACGTAAGATATGGTATACTGAAACTGTGAGATCAAGAGGAAAAACCTTGAGAGCCAATAAATCAGCATTGTGACGAGTGACTATCAATCCAGTCAGATCTGTTCTTATCTCAACCCCTCGTGCCCCACGTTGGGCGCCAAAAAGAACTGTCGTGGTTTAAACCCAGTCAGGTAACTTGTTCACTCACTCCCAGTGAGTGGTGCTGAGCTGACAACAATCAAAGTCCGTGTCCGTCTCCCCCCCCCCCCTTGCACCGGGGCTCTCCCCTTCCCCACTCCCGGAGGAACGGGGAGGAGGATCGAGAGAGTGCAACTCCTACGGGTTGAGACAAGAACAGTCCAGCAACAAATCACCACCGCTACTATCAGCTAAAACAATGATAAGGGAAAATAACAAGGGAAGAGAATACGATACCACCGGCCAAGAAAACGAGTTCCACCCGGAAGCTCCTGTCCTTCCGGGTAACTCCCAGTTACCCCCCACCCCGGGCATGACGTGCTGTGGTATGGAATACCTCCCCGGCTAGCCCGGGTCAGGCGCCCCGTCTCTGCTTCCTCACAGCTTCCCCTCCTCCCTGGCAGAGCATGAGCCTCACAGAGTCCTTGGTCAGGGTAAACATCACTTAGCAACAACCGACAACATCGGCTTCACCAACACTGTTCTCAAACTAGAAGTCAAAACACAGCACTGCACCAGTTAACACAAAGGAAAAAAACATGACTGCTACTGCTGAACCCAGGACAATCATCCATCTGCCTTTCCCATTTTACTGCCATGATAACAGAAACTTCCCTCACATCAATACAGATATACAGACAAGTCCTCAGGAAAGAGCGCCTTCATGCACAAAGTTGTCCTTTTGTGGTTGTCCTGCTGACTGGGCAGGTTAAACACAGCAAAGATGGTACAAGATATTGGGCCATAAAAGAAAACATATGAAAATTATCAACTTACTTGTCTTAAATCTAAGTTAGACAGCCTTCTTTTATAAAGTGCAAGCCCAGAGAAAATAGTGTTTTGGGCAAGAAGGAGACCCATGTTGACATTCAACTGTAACACTCTGATTTGATCAGCTAGTCCATTAGATTTGATGAGCTAGGGGAAGCAAAGCTTGGCAGTAACTGCATTGTGCTATATATATATATGTATATACAGATTCTTCACGGAGAGAGGAACAAGGTCTGCTCCCTTTGCTTCCCCATGCTAATGAAACAACAGTGACAATTCAAATACTTTAATAAATGACATAAGGGAATGGCATTATAAAACTCCCTCTCAGGTCCAGCCTGACATACCTGACTTCCTTGCTTTCAAGGCAATGACAGCAGCCAGTTCTCTCTGCACCTAAAATACCAGGAAAGGAAAGGATGATTATAGTTACTAGCACAGTCAAATGAAACAAAATGCAACACTTGTAAGATACTGGCTATCAAACCTTTGGAGCTGTCCACTGCATATGGAATTATGTAGGTACTTGGTTTTGAAACTGCAGTCACTTTTCCTAGCAAGTCTATTTTCTTTTCAGCTAGGAATTCTATGACAACTTTAATTTCAGGTAAATACTGCACATTCCTTGAATTCCCATGACATTAGAGAATGGGTAATTCAGTAGCCCAACCTGTAACTTGTTTGCATAGCATATCTCTTTCACAAGTACACACTTGAAGCTTCTTCCTTTCCCTGTTAAATGTTTGTTTTGCCTCTGCTGAGCACCCTGTAAGGCTGGATTTATGTGTGACTCCAGGATAAAAGAGTTCTCTATGCTGGGGTTTGGCTGAGGTTCACATCTATAAGTGACATTCAGTTTTTTGAGCTTTCAGGAGGAAACAACCCCTCCTAATAGCATGGCTGAGCATTTCAGGACTGAAGTTTAGCTTTAGATGAACATGCAGAAGTAATCTGATTTCCAGATTTACAGGCTATTTTACTTAGCCTGTGATGAAACAGCCCTGACATGCTAGCCAGCTCCCTTCTGCAGCCTCTTGTCTCTGCATTCATCATATTTTCCCTATAATCTCTGCATGATCACCTGTAGCCAACTCAACACCCACTTCTCTCCACAGGTCTATTCCTTTTTCTAACAGTAAAATTCTGTAGTAAGCATTATTTTTATGCTTCATATTTCCTCACTGCCATCTCCTGTCCCATTGTACCCTACAGCACCCCAGACACTCTCCTGCATAAACCTCAGTTCTTCCTTTCCTCTGCCCCATCCGTGTTCTGACTCTTTCATATACCTCACAGCTCCTTTCAATTTCCTTCATTTTCCTAAGGCAGCCTGTCTTTAGTATTGAAAACAAATATAGGAGATTCCAACTATTTTTCTATCTTACTTCTCTGTACAAAGTCTCCTGTAGGGTATACTAGCCCTCTTGTCTAACAGACCTATACAAAACTCAAGGCTACTTTACAGTGGAAGTTTTGCATTCAGTTTCTGAGAGCATGTGAAATTCAAAACATCATTCACAAGACGTGGTATGTTCACAATAAGGCACAAAGCCCATGGAGGATCCTCAAAGTAATAAAATTACTAACAACTGTCAACATCTCACTCTCATGACTCTGAAGAAAAGTTTGAAAATGTGAAAGAAGGATAGTTAAGATAATATTGGTCTCAGCTGAAAGACAGACAAAATCAGCCAGGTCATCTCACTACAGTGGTAACTCCAGCATTCACTGATCAACAGCCACACAGCAGTACACTCTACATGTAGCAGAAGGCAGTCATACCACAGGCCATACCCTTCCTCTGCTTACATCCTTCCTTCCCTTGTGGCAAAGGATGAAGGAGTTTTTTTTGCTGTCCTTGCAAGGTACAAGGATCTTTTCTACTCCTTGATGCTGCCCCACTGAGAGGGAGAGCTTTCTGCCACTCCAAGCAGGAAAATATGAACGCAGTGCCACAGTTTTCTTAAATGTTGCCCCATTTCCAGAACAATTGTGCAAGCTGGCAGTATTACCTTCCCTTCCTTCCTTCCTGTACACTCATTCCCATGTCTGGAGAACTGTTAATCATGGCTAATGTAAGCATAAACTACAAGTAAGATGGAAAAGAACAGTTCTGTGGAAAAATAACTTGCGTGCCGGATTGCTTGCAGCAATTAATGCACACTATAACAACATAGACAAGCAACCCAGAGTAAAAGCAGGATTTCCAATAAAAGCCCAAATTGTTTCTGAATGACTTTTCATGGCTAAATTGATCTGACCCTCTGTATTCATTAACCTCAGCAATGTCGATGCCCTGATCCTGGTCTATTCTCACAGGTTATGACAGTAAGAAACACTTACTGCACTAACGTCTCAAATTTTTCTTTTAGCATTTAATAAATACATTCTCTTCAAGATTATCCTGAAGAAACACTACAATCTGCAACAGTTGTAAACTATACCAATTAACCCAAACAACTGAAAAATGCAAATCTCCCAGTGACTGTAAAGAAAAGCCCATCTTCTCAGAAGAAAAAGCAGCATTGCGGCATCCTGTGGTTATATCTGCAGTATTACTTTTGCTTATTAGGTAGTACTTTCCAGGCAATAAAAAGAATGTTTTTCTGTATTTTGTCTACACCTAATTCTTTGCCATGTGCCAGAAATGCACCGGCATATTACTTAATCTGAGGAAAATCCTTCAATTAAAGCAAGAGAAAAGCATGCTCCTCTAGTTTTAAGCAGATGTTCTTTCATCCTAGGGTTTCATCGTGACGCTCTGAGCTCCCACTCATAGGACTCACTGAAATCACAATAAATTGGTACTGCTGCGCATCCTTTTGATCTTCCCAATGTCCCTAGATTTCATAATCTATATGCTTTTGTCTACTTTAGCGTAAATGCACTTGACATCTCAGCTGGACATGCAATTCCTATGCATCATTAAACCGTTGGAAATCCATGTACAACATTCATTCCTCACTGCACACATGCTACCCATTATCATACTTCTTCCTAATAGGATTTCAGCTACTGCCTGTTTAACAAAATCAATAGTTGCACATCACATTGAACATAATAATGTGGACTCAAAGTAAAATACAAATTCAAAGAGGAACTATGCCTACCACATTGAGATATTAAATACAAAAAATTGGTTTATACATATAGCTTGTCACTGCAAAGCTACATTATCTAAATAGTATCCCATTTTAAGTAGCATTGTAGATATCAAAACTTTAAAGGCCTGCTTACCACGTTATTTACAGAAATATTATGTGTCTTACAAGAGAATATTGTGAGTGTGTTGCTGGCACATTACCGCATCTTAATCAGTTTTATTTTTTCAGTATGAAAGAGCAAGAGTGTACATACAGACTGGTACCCACATATACTTCTGCTAGATTAAATACAAATGGCATATTTATAGAGTGAATTTTCTCATCTTCAAAGGACAGAGAAAGATTTTTCAAAAGTAAATGACAACTTCTTTCTTTTATCCATGAATCTGGTAATTTTATCATAGAAAGCATAGCTTTACATCTATTAGACAGTTCATATCACCTTTGCTTTTCTCCCCCTCTCTTTTTTCTGCTGATACTAGTCTTTTGTGAAACAGTATTCTAGAGACTATTCTAGATGCCAAATAGAACTTCAGATGTAGAAACAAAGTGGTAAGCCCTACAGAAGCTCAAAATTAAATCCCGCAACAGAAAGGTCTAAACAGCAGGGGTTTAAGAAAAGAAAGTCTAGTTCACATTTTTGCATGTCAAGTAATGATAGTTCGATGGACTCAAAAAAAACAAAAAAAAACAAAAGTGGTATTGGCTGACCTCTTAAAGTACCAGAAAACTGTATTTCCCAGATTCGCTGCATCCTGATATTTTCTTCTGTCCCATCTCAAGGTAAGTTAAGAGCTTTGCAGTGTAAACACTCATAGCCATCCCACTGTGCTCTGCTTTTAACAGACAAGACACTGAAGCTTCTCTTTGGGACATGACACTGGATGCATGACAGCTCTGAAATGCTTCTTTAAACACAGGAGTAATCACTACATTTTCTTAAAATTTCACGACCAAAAAGATTATCCAACGCAAACGTATTTCAAAAGGCACTTTGCACTGCCTGCATGTCAGCTACCTTTGCAATTTAAGTTTAATGGTGTTGTCAGTGCCTCATTGCAATGGAGCGTATGATATGAGCATATAATTCAATAGCCTCCATTCAGTTATCTTGGCTGACTCTGCTTCTTCCACTGTAGAATAAAACATAAAAGAAAAGCGAGACCCTCAACAAGCTACTTATCTTCTATATCTGATTCTGCTCTTAAAAGAGGTGCATTCCATACATTAGGCACAAGTTAAGATGATAAAGAAACCAGTAGTTTTTTCCCTGCTGTCCTTTTGACTTTGCATCATTCATGCAGCTATTGCTATTATCTTCTACAATCTCCATAACCTTTGTCTAAAACCAAGAGTGCATTTCCCTAACTAATCAGTTGTAGACTGGCCAAATCATAAAAAATAATAAAAATAATACAAAAATTATTAAAAAAAATAGTCACAAATTGTGCAGTGAATGTGAAAAGAACAAGGAAAACACCACCTTGTAACAAAAAGCAGTAGGAAATAAGTAATAAAAGAAAGGCCAATAACAAAAGCCAGGCTACAGTAAAGAAAAAAAGGTGGAGAGAGTAATTCACCAAACTTGTACAGATGCTTGTCTCTGCTAGTCATTCCATAACTCCTTCATAGCAAGCGCATACCTTACAAATGGAATTTAAAGTATAACTGCTTTTTCCCTAAAGTATACTTTCAAAATGAATTATATATTCAGCATCCTAAAAGGCCCTATTACTGTTCCCTGCCTGTAAGGAGTGCCTGGGAAACTAGTTCAGATGTATATGCTTGCCATATGGCTACTTACGTTTAGGTTAGTTCTACCCTTTACAACAGCAATAGATTTTATAGAGTTACAGAAATATATAATTAGACCGTACGTGCATGTCTGCTTACAGTTTTTCCCTGCACTTTCAAATACTAAAATGGTGATTTTTCTTTTAGGCACACAGATTCCTCCAGTGCTGCTTGGGCTGGACCTTCACAATCAGTTTAGGTTTGAAAATTTAGTTCCAAAAAAAGAAAAGCTGACACAGAAGAATCCTTCTAACCTGCCATGGAATGTTTTATTCAATTACAAGGAAAGCAACAAGAAAAGTAAAAGATACAGCGGTGTTACCAACACCAAAAGGATTTGAACATTCAAACCTAGAAAAACACAAAAAAGTCAATACTAATCCCTGACTGTTTTAGTGCTGGGCTGCAAATAAGGTTTGGGGTGGTTTTTTTTTCACTTCTGAAAAACTAGCCTGAATAGTATTGTGAACAGGACTCTGAATTTTGAATTCTTCAAGGAAGACTGGCTTGATTCTGTACAAAATACATGTGAGCCAAAAATCAAGACAGTGTGAACACGGCAGGCTAATACTTTCACTTTTGGTTTCCAGCCTTTGTTCACAGGACCCTTTTTTTCATACAAACTCTGAATCTGACAGGAAAAAATAAGAGTGAGAACCTGTATCCTGGTGAGTTCAGCCCTTTGCTGAGTGGTGCAAGCTGAATGGTCGAATTCCCTTACACATATAACACATAAAGCCTCTCCACAAACTCACAGTGAGTACTTTAGATTCCTGTCTACTATATGGAGGGAAAGCAATATTCGGGAGAGATAAGAGAGAGCACAAATTCTCCTTCCCTTCCATTTTTCAGCTATTTCAAGGTAATACTTATTTCACTTAAGATAGCTTTTATCCTCCCTCATGCCTTTTTCATGGCAGCATTACCCCACTTGGTTCAATTTCATCTCTGTACCTTCTCACACATCCAAGGCAGAACTTGTACTAATTCCATGTTTTGATGATAGCATGATTTAGGTATGATGTTTGCCAAACCATACAATCCCAGAACGGCTGAGGTAGGAAGGCATCTCTGGAAGTCACCTGATCCAAACCCCTGCTCAAAAGCAAGGTCAGCTAGAGAATGTTGCTCAGGACCATGTCCAGTTGAGTTCTGAATACCTCCAAGGAGGGAGACCACTACCTCTCTGGGTAACCTGTTGTACTGTTCAATCACTCTCCCAATAAATAAGGTTTTCCTCATGTTTAAGTAGAATTTCTTGAATTCCAGTTTGTGCCACTGTTTCTTGTCCTATCACAAGATGCCACCAACAAGAACCCAGCTTTGTCTTCTTTATTCCCTTCTATCCAGTATTTATACACACTGGTGAGGTCCTCCAATAGCCTTCTGCTCTCCACATTTAGTTCCCAGCTCTCTCAGCCTCTCCTTGTAAGTCAGATACTCTACTCCCTTAACCATCTCCATGGTTACTCACATAGAACCCAGTACCTCCACATGTCTCTTGCACTGGGAGTTCAGAATTGGCCCCAACACTCCAGGTGTGTCACACCAATTCTGAGCAGGGGAGAATAATCACCTTCCCCAGCCAGAGGACAATGGCCTTACAGAAGGCAGTTGGTTTTCTTTGCCACAAGGGCACATTTCCGCCTCACATTCAACCTGGTGTCTACCAAGACCCCTAGGTCCTTTCCTGCAAAGCTGTTTTCAGATGGTCAGTCCCTAGCCTGTAGAGGAGCATGAGGTCATTTCTCCCAGATGCAGGGCATTGCATTGCCCTTAGTTGAAATTAATGAGATTCCTGCTGGCCCATCTCTCCAGCCTGTCAAGGACCCTCTGAATGGCAAATCTGGTATATCAACCATTCCACCCAGTTCTGCATCACCTGGAAACTTGCTGAGGGTGCATTCTGTACCATCATGCAGATTACTTCAGATTGAATGAATCTAGCTTAACCTTCTGAAGTCATTTCTGTCTGCTTATTAGAACAAGGATCTTACAACAAGATAAACAAGATGCATCAAATTCTAGCACAGACAGGATAAGCTGTTGTTTATTATGAGGGAGTTCATTGAGGCTAAATATAGCTAAGAAGACAGATACCCAGCCTTCCTGGGTGGGTCTCCTCAGAATCTTATGATAATCTATGCCAGCACTGCTGAGGCCCCTTCTCTTCCTTTTGTCCCCATGCCATCATTGTCTTTACACTGATGTCGACCAAGAGAATCTGAGTGTAAGCTACCTATCTTCAAAAATGGTATCTCCTGGGCCATGAATAGCACAGTTTACAAGAGATCAGGCTGCAACAGACCTTGCTTGGACTGATTATAATAGCTTTAGAATTGTACGGTGAGAACTCAATAAAGCTTCCCCCTTTCAGATACAAAAAGGTAGTTTGCATTACAAACACCTGCTCACTAAGACCAAGTCTTTAATTTGAAAGGATCCAAAACATGACAATATTTCAAACATGAACAGTACAAACTTTGATGCAGTGACCTTACCGCAGAACTGAGATGAGCAAGAATCTCGGCATTGGTTTCTGCTGTATCGTCTATTCTGTGATCAGGCCTTAAAAAATAAAAATAAGATTTTATTATTTCTTTCATTCTGTTTCAACATCTTTTGATTCCTGAAAAGCAAGGAACTGTGTAGCCACAGGCACTAAGGTAAAAGGGCTTTTTGACATTCCACATCAAAATGCTGACTGCAACATGACAATAATTAATTGTCAGTAACGACAAGAGTATACCCTTTGTCCTCTGCTGTCAAGAACTCTTTTGACTGGACTAACATATAACAATTAGAGAATTCTTCAGCTATAAAAATGTGATGAATAACTGAAGATTGCAGGACACTCTTAGCTCAGAGTTGCTTATTTGAGTGCGCATTTTGCTCTGCTAAAAAACACTCCATTAACAGACCAAAGAGTTTTCCATCTGCCCCCCCACACACACACTTTAGTGTGGAGTAACACCTATGGAATGTAAGCTCACATAGATAAAAGCAGACAACATCAAAATCGTTATATGACACATGAAGTTTGATAGTAAATAAATAAATAAATAAATAACAATGTGAACATGAGAACACATTGAGAAGCCATAAATTAGCAAATTAGAGCAATGGTTGAGAACACTATTAGGTTATCTTGACAGTTACTCACAAGACAGACTTCATGTGTCTTTGCAGAAGTGGGACAGTACAAGAAGAACCCTTCTGGAAACTGTCACAGAAGTCTGGCTATATGGAAAAAGCCACACAAAAGCTGCTGTGGACAGTGCATGGGATAGGACTGTGTTTCTGTGCTTTCTTTACCAGTTTAATTCCATCATTAAAACATCTATGAGCCTTTCAGAAGCCAATCATAAGAAAGATACCAATATGATGGGGTTATTACTATGAGAAGAAAAAGAAAATGCCCTTGAGATCTTTACTTTTCATGGTATTCAAGATGCATGGCATGCCAGCAAACCAAGCAGATACACAAAACTGCAGCTGCTGTAAATCTCAGGTATTAGCAGAAGCTTCTATCTTTGACTAAATTAAATAACTGCTCATATGCCTTGATGTGTTTAAGGGGAGAGTTGACAGTATGTCTGGAATATGCAGCTGGTATATTGTGGTTCTTACATCCCATGTCCAAAAATTTCTTTCCCTGATAAAAAAATAAAATCAGAAACACAGAACAACACATGCATTCATTCTGGGACAGGTATATTCAGACCAAAATGGTAAATCAGATTAGAAATTGATTATTTTCACAACTGCCTTTCGTATGCAAAGAAAAATGTGAGTTAACATTTTTAAGTGTTATAAACAACCCAAAAGAAATAAATGAATGCAGTTTCGTTTACAAATACTGATTTTCAGACTTTATAACTCAGAATGAGATTAAAATAACTGCCCTTTTTAGATGCTTATATTTCCCTGCACATCTGATCGCTTCTGATCTCTCAGAAGCAGGCTAGGACTTGGCTCTTCTAAACTGCAGACAGAAGATAGTAGACACAGCCACAGATGCAATCTGTAAACTCAAAACAGCATATAGCATAGCTATTTCCATCTTGGGCCTTTATCAATTCATCTTGTATTTAAAAATACTCCCAGCATTCATCTACATATGAAATTCAATACTTCTGAAACCATCAATATACTAAAAATTATAGTACATAATCAAAGAGGAAGAGTGTATTGTGATACCCAGGCTAATGGAAAAAAAGTAAGAACGAATGGATGCTGAGGAACGGAATCAGCTCAGATATCACCCTATTTTTTCAAAAGGGGACAGACCAAGAGCTAGTAAGGCTGGTACAAAGCTACAAAGCCCTGGCAAACAAGACTTAGGCTTATACAGCTTCTAGAGGCAAGTCAGGCCCAGCACACTTTTTCTGGTACTGGCATAATTGTACTGGTGTACAGTAGTGCACCATGTGAAGGCAACTACAGTGCTTCCCAACCCACTGACAGAGGAAGCAACAGTGATACAGCGATGGTCCTGGTCTTGGACCTCAACTTTCCAATGCAGAGCCTCTGCATATGTCTCTATGCTGGCTTTACACTCCACCTACAGTGACAATAAAAGAGCCATGGATACCTGAGAGTTGTCTGCATTCAGCAAAAGCTTTCCAAAAACTCCATAAGGCAATAACTAAATGAATATCCCATTGTGGCTATATATCTTAAAACCAAATTACTTTTCCGAAATTAATAAAATGTAAATTATTGCAGGACAGAAGATACAGAATCTAGTGCAAAATATAAAGAAAAGAAAATAACAAAGAACATGAGATAAAGAAAAAAAATCCCGTTAATATCTCTTCAAATAATTAAAAAAAGTGTTATGGGATACATTTCAATAGTCTAGGGTACCCAATGCATTCTTGAAATGTTCATTGAGTCTACCAGTGGCTCTGGGAATTAGGTGTTGTTATAAACACCCGCATTTACAAAGGAGGATACATAAGCATACAAAGATTAGACACCTGATACAAAGCCATTACAGTCACTTGAAAACAATTCAGGAGGCACTGGATGAGAGCCTAAGTAATTGCTCAAGTTTGTAAGGAAGTCTGTGGCACAGCTTTCAATACAGATGTTTTGTTTCCAGGTTACTGCAGTATTCAATACTTTTCTGTGAATAACAGAATAACCCTGTGATTAACAGGCCCAAGAGGCCTTTGCATTAGTCCCATCTCATTTGGCATTTACAGCAGTTCAGTCCTGTGGAATACACATAACAACATCAGCCTTCAGTTTAGTGTGAGCAGCTTTAGTGTGTGGGGAATTTGCCAAAGTGAAAAGGCAACATTTATTCAGGAACTGCAAGCATGTCTCAGGATTCAGAAGACTATTTTCATTGTAGAACTTACTATATAGTAACACTGCTAATACTGACCAGAAGCAAATGCAAATACCTCACAGATCTGTACAGCAAGTTGAGACCAGGCCACATTTATTTAACAGGGTTTCCAGAAGAAATTCTGGAAGGAATTCTGAAGGAACTTCCCAGAGCTGCTACTGCCTACTCAGGCCTACAGACTCCTTCATGGAAAGCAGATCCATGGTACTCCACAGAGATCCACTGATGCAGCCAGCAGTCCAGGCAAGCATAAGGCTGCTGTGGAGGAGGCAGAGCTCATTTGGCTCCTGAGACCACCAGGAGATGTTCAGCATTGCCTTTTGGTGCACAAGCAGGCAGTCGCTTCTGACTTCATCAAAAGCGGGCAATCTAATTAACAAAGTAAGTATTTCTTCATCTCTATGTATACACAAAATTAATGCCTTCAATACAGACTATGAGAAAAACTAAGACAGAAAAATAAATACAAAAAAAAACACATAAGAAACACTATGATTCTACTGATATGAAAACCAGCTCATATACTTGAGAAAGGACAAACACTCACTGCAACAAGAGTTTTAGAATTGCCCTCTTTCTTCATACATATATATATAAAGAGTATATAGGTTTATTTATAACAGATAACTTCAACAAACACCTCATCACATCTATTCCCTTCCAGATTGTGCATTGTGTATTATTTGCATTGAGAATGGAGAATTTTGAATCCGAAAAGCCTCCTTTCCCTTTAATATTACTGTCCCTCAAGAGTATGCCATTATTTAAAATTCAGGTTTTGTATATGCATATTTTATATATGTATAATATAGATATGTATATATATTTATTTTATATATGTATTATATTTTTAAAAAAGCACCCTCACAATCTGACAGGTAAAACCTCCATAAAATAATTCTTCAGTGATAATGTTCCCAAAGGGATTACAACTTCTATGAAAATTTGAATAATGTGAGCAGAAGGAGCCGGAAATGTACATTAATGAGTAATTGTTTAATTCATGTGACAGGGATCATCCTCCAGTAGAAATGACAGTTGCACTGGAATGATAAAACTGCAAGGCAGACTGTAAACTCAGACCTAAAAAGTTTTCAATGCATTTTCCTATCCAGCATCTTTCACGTATCACATCAATATAACCTATCTGCTCTTTTTGATTCAAAGTCTTTGCACGAGAAGTCATAAACCATGAAAAGTGGACTGATTTGCAGTGATAAAGAGAAAAACTCAATTCCCTCGTATTTAAGGGACAAAATCACCTTCACATTTAAGGGACAGCCAGACTGCTTAGCACCAGCATAGGCTGGAAGACAAGAATTACAATTTGCAAAAAAAAATATTCAAAGTTCTTCTCTCATATGCATCATCTGCTTAGAAAAAATCAAGTTTCCACCCTGAGCCATGCAGAGAAATTACTGAGATTTTGTTCCACCAGCTCAAGATGTCTGAATTTAAGAAGCTGGGCTTGAGATAGCTTACAGGGACTTTGGTGCTCCTTTAAACCATTTCCATTGGACATTTATTTGAGAGAATGTGTTTTAAAAATCTAACCTGTAGAGAAGGAAAGTACTTATAGAGGAATGTTTTGTCTTGACAGACACTGCACTGGCAGAGTAATAGTTCTTCACAGTATAAGTACTGGGTTTGAGGATTCATTATGCTAGGGACAAAGACGGAATTTAACCCAACTTGCCTACCCAGGCCAGCTTCTACAGATTTCTTAATGCATGAGAGATCATGAGCCTCCAGACCTCTCACCAAGACCTTTTTCCTATATTTTGGCCTCTTACTGTGGCAGAGATAACTTTGATTTCATTCTAGCTGATCTAAATAGGTAACATTAGAGTGCATCTGTATCAGCACAGAAGGTATCCAACATCAGGCAGAAGAGGAGACATGTAGGAAGTGAAACTCTTAAAAGGTGGATTCTGAAAAAGAAATAATGATGTGAGATTACAGAGCTCTGGCAAACGTGCAGTAGCCAGCAAAAATCATCTATCACATTTCTACCTATTCCCTCTTTCCATCTGATGGCTGATCTTGACACAGCGCAAGGGAATCTGGTCTACCAGTCAGCTCCACAGCATGGCTGCTGCTTAATTCATGCCAAACTTCTGGATGTAAGAGGAGAGAAAAAAAAAAAAAAATAAAGCCATTTGCTCAGGTAATCTAGTAAGCTAGAGTCAGCAAGCTAGTGCATAAGAACCACAATATGCCAAAAACCCCGAGTTGAGGGCCTTAGTTTATCTACCCACAATTACAGAGCCCATCTCTACAAAGCTTGCCAACCCTGAAAAGAAAGCTGTCTCATTTGCACAGTGGTTTGGAGGTAAACAATGTCATTATAAGACAGCGACTTACAAAACAGTCAGCAAAAGTTGCAAACAGCTGTACATGAACACTTACAGATTACACATGTCAATCCTGGCAGGAGATAACGGCAGTAGTTGAAGTAGGAGCTTTACTCCATTCTTCCATCCTTCCTCTTTCTCATAGTCACAGAATAGGTAGGTACATTCATCCACTGAGAACTGGTAGAAAGCGCGAGTGTCTTGAAAACAGAGTTGTCTGTCCACTGTTAGGGAAAAAAAGGTAACATTAGATAGCCTGTAAACCTTTACCATGTAAGGGTTCTGTGTCCTCACCTCATTCTGTATTGCTCTTGACCTTAATGCTGAGTTGCGCCACCATACAGGGCAAAGGGATTATAAACCTGGCACAGAAGCAATCTTGCCCTGAAGTATTACTTCAGTGCACCCAAACAGGAAAACCCCAAAAACTCAATTTGAAGAATTCCAGGCTCCTGAAATTCAAGCATTAAGACTGCTGAGTATTCAATCAATTTTGGAACAGTTCGGAATTAGAAGACAAAAACCTTCCATTCGTCAGATTTCTGAGCCTCAATTTCCATTAGTTCCTAGTCTGTCCTCATTAATGGTCAGGCACTAATAAACAAAGTTCAATAATGGAGATGTAGCCACTAATTATCCCAGCTTCTCCTCAAATTCAGGGCTGCTGGATTTGTGAACTAGACCTAGGTAAGATGATGTGCTGTTACAACAGCATCTTCCCCGGCAAAATCAGGATTGAGCTGGGACCTAAGAATGAGGTCCAAAGCCAAGAGCACAACCTCCTGCTGGGAGAGTCATTCAGCCCTTGCTGAGGCTGCATGATCACCATACCATCAGCATATGGCAGAAAAGGTTAAAGTGAACGTAAGAGGAAATATTCCATAACATCTCACCTTTCACAAGGAGAAAGGTTAAGTGCCTAGCACAGATCCCAGGGTGGGGTATGCTCTGAGCTGAGCTACCGCAGTAGCTATAGCGACAAAACTACAAAGTCAATTCCATGAGATTTCCAGAGATTGGTTACTGGTGCAATTAATGCCAACCACATTAGCTGCACCAAACCCATAAATTTGGTTGGGAAGGTGGGAGCATACAGGTAGAACCTGGCATCACCACCGTCTCAAGGAGCTGAGTCCCCTCTCAATCCATTGCAATCTAAAACTATGAAAAACAGGGAGATGCAGGGTGTGTCACTGATAATAGATAATGGTCCGTGGTGAAACACAAAAATAGAAAAGTATTTTTTGGCACAGGTTGTGGGAACATAACCTTGGAAATAAGGGAGTTAAAACACCGCTGTTAGCAAAAGGGAGTCTTATACCAGTAAACCTCTGTTCACATGCTGGCCACATATGGGCTGATGTTGCAACTGGTAATTTTCCACTCCAGCCCAAGGGGGGATATAAGGACCTGTGCAGAGACAGACAGGTGAGAAAGCCAGATGCACATCTTGATTCGGGGGACACCCTGACAATGCACTGCCTACCACCCCTCTGACCAGGCAACACGTTCCATCTTCTTCTTCTCCTCGGTGGTACCCCATGCAACCAGGGGTTGGAATGTATGTAACCTGTTTTGCATTAATATATGTACTTGCTTTGCACTAATAACTCAATAAATAGACTGTGGAGACAGTGTTCTCACAGGAGAATGCATAATTGGTACATAAACTCTGAATAATCCTGAAAGATACAGCAAGGCCATGAGAGGCCCGAGGAAGCTTAAGCAAGCAAGATAAGAAGAAGCTGGAATTCACTGAGTTAATGAGAACTGTGGACTGCTGGCAAGCTTTCGAGGTCAAGCTCTCACACCTGTGCTTAACCAATTATATGTTAGTCACTAAGGGTCTTCAAGACATGTATCCAATCATAATATGCCAAATCACTGTAAGTGCATGTAAGAAATAGTATATAAGGAGTTAAGGCTTTGTAATAAATTTGGCAATCGCTTGATCACATTGATCGTCTCTGCGTTGTCCGTGACTCCCGTGTCAACAATAGCCCAAACAGGGACCCTCCGATCGGTAACTCGACAAAGACGAGTTTGAAGGTCCGATGAAAAGGAGGGGGCGGAGAGCCGGCCAAAATTCAGCGCTGCCCCAGCGCTGGGAAGTCAGACGTCTGCAAAACTTCAGGAATCTCGCCCTGATCAGGTGAGCGGCCAGGGAGGAGATGGGGCACTTGTTATCCAAAGAGGAACAGGCGGTGGTGAAGCTCCTCCAACACATTCTCTCTAAGAGAGGACTGCAATATGATAGTGCCACCTTACAGAGGCTGTTAAAGTGGTCCCATGATCGCGAGGTTAGTAAAGGCACCAAAGATGCACAGAAACACTCTACACTTTGGAGACTGGTGTTTGAGACTTTGAAAGAGATGAAATTGGAAAGGGCTGAGGTAGCTTCTGTATTTGCTGCCACAGCTCCAGAAGGGACTGTCTCCCCTAACCCCCTTCATAGTGCTGCAGCTATGACTTTTGCACCTCCTGTGGTACCTGGAACGGCGCCGAAAAAATCAACGCCCCGAGCTGATGAAAGCAAGAGCCAGGTCCGCAGATGGCCACATACCGAACGAGAGACACCTGACAAGAAAGACATAGCTGCGAACAACGGAGACCCTGAGTTCGACCCAGTATCAGACTCCGAGTCCCCTGAATCTGAGCCACATTTATATCCTCTGCTTCCAGACTCTGACTCTTCGTCTCCCGGGTCAGTCTGCTCAGCTCATCAGCAACTACTCACTGGCCTTGGAGACGCTCAGCTGCAATAATTGATGAAAAAGCTTGAAGCCCTTGAGACTGGGATTGAGACATCTCCATCAGTGCCTCCACCTTATCCTCCGCAAAACCCCTTCCTTAAAGAAGGCAAACAGGGGGAGGGGGTGGGAGAGGTATCGGGGGGCACAAATCCTGCGCACTGTTGGCACAGGTTAATCAAAGATGCAATTATTACTGGTGAATTTTCTGCAATGGGCCTCTCTGCATATCCTGTGTTTACTACACAGCAGGGGGTTAAAGAGTGGGAAGCTTTTGATCTCAAAATAGTTAAGGAGGCCTGACAATCAGTGACCACATATGGGTTAAAATCCTCTTATACTCAAGCTGTATATGTTATGATTTTTTTTGCAATTGACAGGAGACTTTAATGACTCCCCTGCTATAATACATGGTCAGGCATTAGGTTCAGGTTGTACGACTAAAACTCCGGGTATTCTTGTCCAGTACAAGGATTTGGAAACCGGCATTTGGAAAGGTCCTGTGGAAGTAAAACTAACAGGTTGAGGTTATATGTGTGTAAATTACAGATTCCGGTTTGCGGTGGGTGCCAGCTCGATGGGTGAAACCCTGGAAAGAGTCAGCATCACCCCAGGACACCCCCTTTGTCAGTGATTGAATGAATTGAAATTTGAGCTCAGGACATCCGTTTTATGGATGTTTTCAGCCTTTCTTAAAGTGAAGCGAGCAACCCTTTTTTACATTAAAGTAAAAAAAAACCACAAAAACAAAACACAACAGAAAAAAACAACCCCCACCCCCACCCACCACCTCCCCCGAACCTCCAGGGAAGCGAGACCAGCTTGGGATACAGATGTATTGTGTGATTTTCTGGTGGTGGGAAGGTCTCTCTTATGCTCTTATCAGGGGTATTGGGCATACTGTGACGGACCATGGACTTGGGAGCCCATATACAACTCATTTAATACAGTTTCTCTGTGATACTCATGTACTAGAAGTTGGTAAATATAAGTATGTCCAGGTTTCTATCGACCTTTGGAGACCTTTAAAGATATTGCTGGCCACTTCTTCCATAGGCTGGCCACTTGTGTCGGAATGAGTGTGCATTTTGGTCAGTATAAAAGCCCAAGCTTCATACAATGTGGGGGAGGCAGAGCCTCTGTGGGGACAGCCGCTAAGGATGAGCCTGCCACCTCGCATGGCAATGATGCTTCTCGGAGCTGGTTTCCTGTTAGTCTCCACAGGGTCCTTGTGCCACGTTCTGTACATGGGACTGTAGTGGGAGTAATAATTGTCTTTTTGTGTTTCAAATATTGTAGTTGTGTGGAGCGTGCTTGTGGGATCCCATAAGTGTGTGTGCATGTGTGTGTGTTGAGGGCAGACGGTGTTCTGTGTATTTTTTGTTGTTGGGTTCATGTAAAAGTTTTTAACAGGTAATAGTTTAACATTTCGGGCAAGAAAGGGTTAATGCAAAAGTGCAGTTGCCAGCAGGTATTTATGGTTGCTGCTGAAGCAGGCAGGCAGCTGTAGCTGCTGCCCAGCAGGCTGGCTTTTATAGCTGCTGTCGAGCAGGCCGGCATTTGTAGCTGTGCAAAGCAGGGTGAGCGACTTCTGGGAAAAAAAAAAAAAGAAAAAAAGCTGACCTCCGATTCAGCTCCCGGTGCTCCACTGGCGGAACGGCCAGGATGGACGCCAGAGCCAAGGAGTGAAGGGAAAAAAAAACAACCAAACAAACAAAAAACAATCAAACAAACAAAAAAAAAAAAAAAAAAAAACAAAACCCCACCTCTCAATCTACTGAGGTATTGAGGCAGTTTGTAGAGACACCACAGACAAAGCCTAAAGAGCACCTGCAACACAGTGGGTGCATGGTAGGAGCCTTGTTTAGTATGTTTAAGGTAACCTGGGGGTGAATCCAAGACTTGGAGGAATAGATAGATCGGTTGAAATAAGAACTGCTAACTAAAAAAGCGAGAGGGGTAGTATAACCACAAGCTTTATGAGCCGCCACATAAGCAGCATCAGGGTGGCAGAAAAAAAAAAAAAAGAGGCAATGATGCAGCAAACTCTTCGACTGTTAACAATGTGCAGTTTAACCTGTCTGCTTCTCAAGAACTGATAACCTGGAGGAGGGGCTATATTTGTGTCCTGCCTACAGGTCCATGGCGACTGCCTGCAAAGTTTGTGAAGCCTTGCCATGAGCTGGACAGACGAATGGAAAAACCTGGTGCCTCAGCTACAGGAGCTGACCGTGAATACCCCAAGCAGAATGAGATAGAGGAAGAGAAAAACGAATGATTGCAAAACATCACTTGGGGGCACTGAAAAGTAACAGCTTGAATATATGTGTGCTTGTAAAGTAGCTATTATTAGAGGCTGTGATTTTGTGTATAAAACCACCTGTATTTACTAGCCAGTTGCTAATGAGGAACTACACCTTGTATAGATTTGTCACTTGTAAAAGAGATGTTAGAGTATGGAAATTTGCAGTAGCTGCTAGAAAATGCTAAGGCAAAAGCTGGAAAGATTCTAATACAATGGTAGTGTTATAAAGCAGGTGATGGAACAAATTAGGAGGGTGGGAGAATTCCACTGGTAAGAAATTTCTTTGGCTAGTCCCTCGCTGCCATCAGCATCTTCAACATGCTGCTGCACCATGTAATAGTTACTCTGCTAATGTAAATTTGTGTGTGCCTTGCTGTAGTAGCGACTTGTCACTGGATGAAGCAGGTGAAACTCTGCATTGACAACAAGGTTCAAGGACTGAGGCTGACAAAATGCCTGCTACCACAGTCAAGGGCAAGACTGGATTGGCCTCTGTGTTTGCCACCAAGAAGAACCTTTAGCTCCGCTGTTGGCTGCAACCCAGCAGGCGTGGAGCGGTGGGGACACATGCCATGCCAGACCTTGATGTGAAGGATGGCCACCCCTGTTATCAGAGAGCTATACAGCAGAAAAAAGGGGCAGGCCCAGCAGCCTGTAGTTGGCATATGTTGGAGATATGATCTAGCCCAAATCCCCTGCTCGAGTCACCCAAAACATATATAAAACAAAAAGGGGGAGATTTGGAGACAGTGTTCTCACAGGAGAATGCATAATTGGTACATAAACTCTGAATAATCCTGAAAGATACAGCAAGGCCATGAGAGGCCCGAGGAAGCTTAAGCAAGCAAGATAAGAAGAAGCTGGAATTCACTGAGTTAACGAGAACTGTGGACTGTTGGCAAGCTTTCGAGGTCAAGCTCTCACATCTGTGCTTAACCAATTATATGTTAGTCACTAAGGGTCTTCAAGACATGTATCCAATCATAATATGCCAAATCACTGTAACTGCATGTAAGAAATAGTATATAAGGAATTAAAGCTTTGTAATAAATTTGGCAATCGCTTGATCACATTGATCGTCTCTGCGTTGTCTGTGACTCCCGCATCAACAACAGACTAGAGCATTTGATGGTTTGTATCATGTTTGGTGTCGAGTATTTGTACATGGGAACCCTAAGAACCTGGAACAAAGGGAAAATCACTAATAGCTAGGGAAGTCATCCAGTGAAGCCATGATCTGCAGCAACTGAACAGCTTTTGTCTTGTGAAAACCCCAAAAGAGCTTGCAGAGAAAAAAAAATAGGCTGGAAAAGACACACATGGTTAGTAATAAGCAATTACATTTGCAAAAGAAAAAGGAAGGAAATTAGCTAAAAGAGATTCATCTTTGGTATTTATGAAATGAAAGACCACAGAGGTGAACCTACCTAAGAGATAGTAAAATAAAAAACTGTCAAGAAAATTGGATCTATCTGCATTTTTTTTTCGTTTCCCTCCTTTCTCTTCCATCAAAAACATGAGTCTTATTTACCCTATAGAGGAGAAATTCTTAGCTTTCATCATGCTAGAAGTACTACCAAAACTGACCTGATAATATAATGCCCATATCCAGGAGGAGCTGCCACACTCCAGCTGCTGTAGATCTGCACTTAACAAATGGGCACTGCTCCAAAAGCCAGTCTACCAGTTCTGATCCAACACAGCTTCTCCTGAAAATAAGCAAAACATCACTTCTTATACTACAGTAATGTTAAACTGCTCTTTTATAATAAAGAGCTCTTTTTTAAAGCTATTAAAAGTGAATAATTTTGTTCGGCAGGGAAAAACCCTTTATCTCAATTACTAATTTCTATAATCCTATTCATTTCAAGGCAAGAAATTAATTTGGCAAGCCTCAGGGGATGCTCCAAGTTACGAGGGAACTAGTGTCAGATAAGCAAGTTCCCTCACATATCTAATTCATGCAGCACACTTAACAATATGTAATATTTTTATCAATTTGTGCTGCTTACAGACAGTCATGCAAAAATGGAAAAAAGCTAAATAAAATATAGCTTTTAACCTTGGGACTTTATTTCCTTTCCAAGCACAGGCATAAGCAATACAGCTACAAAATCTATGTGTAAGACCTTGAGTGTTGCTTTAGAATGTACGTCATCTTACATATTATTGGTAAACTTATATTTTTAAAAACAAAGCTATGGCTTTTTCTTAAATATGGATATGAATGAACAGTGCTATAACAGAGACCTACACATTTTGGCAGAATTGAAAACAGAAATAAGCATTTATATTGGCAGAGCGGTGGATGTGGTCTACCTTGACTTCAGCAAAGCATTTGACACAGTCTCCCACAGCATCCTCACAGCTAAATTGAGGAAGTGTGGTTTGGATGATCAGGTAGTGAGGTGGACTGTGAACTGGCTGAAGGAGAGAAGCCAGAGAGTTGTAGTCTATGGGGCTGAGTCTAGTTGGAGGCCTGTAACTAGTGGAGTGCCTCAGGGGTCAGTACTGGGACCGGTATTATTTAATATATTCATCAATGATTTAGATGAGGGAATTGAGTGTACTATCAGCAAGTTTGCTGATGACACTAAGCTGGGAGGAGTGGCTGATACGCCAGAAGGCTGTGCTGCCATCCAGCGAGACCTGGATAGGCTGGAGAGTTGGGCAGGGAGTAACTTGATGAAATATAACAAGGGAAAGTGTAGAGTCCTGCATCTGGGCAGGAACAACCCCAGGTTCCAGTATAGGTTGGGGAATGACCTGTTAGAGAGCAGTGTAGGGGAGAGGGACCTGGGGGTCCTAGTGGACGACAGGATGACCATGAGCCAACACTGTGCCCTTGTGGCTAAGAAGGCCAATGGCATCCTGGGGTGTATTAGAAGGGCGGTGGTTAGTAGGTCGAGAGAGGTCCTCCTTCCCCTCTACTCTGCCCTGGTGAGACCGCATCTGGAGTATTGTGTCCAGTTCTGGGCCCCTCAGTTCAAGAAGGACAGGGAGCTGCTGGAGAGAGTCCAGCGCAGGGCAACTAAGATGATTAAGGGAGTGGAGCATCTCCCTTATGAGGAAAGACTGAGGGAGCTGGGTCTCTATAGTTTGGAGAAGAGGAGACTGAGGGGTGACCTTATCAGTGTCTATAAATATATAAAGGGGGAGTGTCACGAGGACGGAGCCAGGCTCTACTCAGTGGCAAACAATGATAGGACAAGGGGTAATGGGTACAAACTGGAACACAAGAGGTTCCACTTAAACTTGAGAAGAAACTTCTTCTCAGTGAGGGTGACGGAACACTGGAACAGGCTGCCCAGGGAGGTTGTGGAGTCTCCTTCCCTGGAGACATTCAAAACCCGCCTGGACGCATTCCTGTGTAACATTATCTAGGTGTTCCTGCTCCGGCAGGGGGATTGGACTAGATGATCTTTCGAGGTCCCTTCCAATCTCTAACATACTGTGATACTGTGATACTGTAGGGGAGAGGGACCTGGGGGTCCTAGTGGACGACAGGATGACCATGAGCCAACACTGTGCCCTTGTGGCCAAGAAGGCCAATGGCATTCTGGGGTGTATTAGAAGGGCGGTGGTTAGTAGGTCGAGAGAGGTCCTCCTTCCCCTCTACTCTGCCCTGGTGAGACCGCATCTGGAATATTGTGTCCAGTTCTGGGCCCCTCAGTTCAAGAAGGACAGGGACCTGCTGGAGAGAGTCCAGTGCAGGGCAACAAAGATGATTAAGGGAGTGGAGCATCTTCCTTATGAGGAAAGACTGAGGGAGCTGGGTCTCTATAGTTTAGAGGAGACTGAGGGGTGACCTTATTAGTGTCTATAAATATATAAAGGGGGAATGTCACGAGGATGGAGCCAGGCTCTACTCAGTGGCAAACAATGATAGGACAAGGGGTAATGGGTACAAACTGGAACACAAGAGGTTCCACTTAAACTTGAGAAGAAACTTCTTCTCAGTGAGGGTGACAGAACACTGGAACAGGCTGCCCAGGGAGGTTGTGGAGTCTCCTTCCCTGGAGACATTCAAAACCCGCCTGGACACATTCCTGTGTAACACTATCTAGGTGTTCCTGCTCCGGCAGGGGGATTGGACTAGATGATCTTTTGAGGTCCCTTCCAATCTCTAGCATACTGTGATACTGTGATATTGTAATGCAACATAAATGGCAAATCACTTCATTACAGAAATATTCCATGAATTACATGCAAAAATCACTATGTAATTAAATCTTAGAAGTCCAATTAATCTCTTTTATAACTCCCAGATAGGGCTGAATTTAATACTCTCTCTTTTCAGCAAAATAACAGACACAATTTTATATGAAACGATAAGCAATTAAATTAATGGACATACAATTGGGCCACTGCTGCTTTCTGACAACTGACGAAGTAACATAAGAAAAGGCATGAAAACACATGAGCTTCTAAAGAATTTTTTAGAAAATAGTTTCAATTCTTAGTAACACACAAAATCTCGCTCTTAGAATTTACTCTCTTGTCAAATCGATGCATAGACAAATGCAATTAAAACCCATTCAGTTGATTAGAATGAATGATCTCAGGTTACCTGCAAATGCCAGTAAGGTACACCCTGTCTTTAATCAGGTCAGACGCTTGTAGAATAAAAATATTCCTGAGAGTTCTTCCAGCACAGGAAATCTGAATGAAAAGAGAAATTGAAAACTGTGACAAATAGAGATTTACTCCTTCTGTAGTAAATTGCCTTGCCACTGTCCAATCCCTCTCTCTGAGCAATGCCTTCTCCCCAGCTAAATAATAAGCAAGCAGTCAAAAGTAGATTTAGATTACATATTAGGAAGAAACTCTTCTCTGTGAGGGTGGTGAAACACTGGCAAAGGTTGCCCAGAGAAGTTGTGGCTGCCCCATCCCTGGCAGTGTTCAAGGCCAAGTTGGACAGGGCTTGGAGCAACCTGGTTTGGTGGAAGGTATTCCTGCCCATGGCATCATTTAGTTGGATCATTAGTTGGAATAGAATCATAGAATCGTTAGGGTTGGAAAGGACCTTAAGATCATCTAGTTCCAATGCCCCCTGCCGTGGGCAGGGACACCTTACGCTAAATCATATCACCCAAGGCCTCGTCCAACCTGGCCTTGAACACTGCCAGGGATGGAGCATTCACAACCTCCCTGGGCAACCCATTCCAGTGCCTCACCACCCTAACAGGAAAGAATTTTCTTCTTATATCCAATATAAACTTCCCCTGTTTAAGTTTTAACCCGTTACCCCTTGTCCTGTCACTACAGTCTCTAATGAAGAGTCCCTCTCCAGCATCCCTATAGGCCCCCTTCAGATACTGGAAGGATGCTATGAGGTCTCCACTCAGCCTTCTCTTCTCCAGGCTGAACAACCCCAACTTCCTCAGCCTGTCTTCATATGGGAGGTGCTCCAGTCCCCTGATCATCTTCATGGCCCTTCTCCGGACTTGTTCCAACAGTTCTATGTCCTTTTTATGTTGAGGACACCAGAACTGCACATAATACTCCAGCTGAGGTCTCACGAGAGCAGAGTAGAGGGGCAGGATCACCTCCTTCGACCTGCTGGTCACACTCCTTTTGATGCAGCCCAGGATACGGCTGGCTTTCTGGGCTGCGAGCGCACACTGCCAGCTCATGTTCATTTTCTCATCAACCAACACCCCCAAGTCCTTCTCCGCAGGGCTGCTCTGAATCTCTTCTTTGCCCAACCTGTAGCTGTGCCTGGGATTGCTCCGACCCAGGTGTAGGACCTTGCGCTTGGCATGGTTAAACTTCATGAGGTTGGCATCAGCCCACCTCACAAGTGTGTCAAAGTCCCTCTGGATGGCATTCCTTCCCTCCAGCGTATCAACCAAACCACACAGCTTGGTGTCATCGGCAAATTAAACTAAATGACCTTTCAGTTCCCTTCCAACACAAACCATTCTATGATCTATGAAAGCCTCATAGGAAATGCACCCCAGCTTCTGCCATACTCAGTTGTATCATGGATTGCAAATCCCCTCCATAGGGTGGACTACTTGTACATTTGCTGCCTTAGGAAAGCAGGGGTTTTACTATATGTCAGTTTTCCTTTGAACAGATAAATCTGAATGAGAACAAGTGGTATTCTATCAAAGCAGACAGACATTATTTTTAAAACCACACAAATACAGTCAAAATTAAACATTATTCCATATTTACTGGAGTTAAACAATTTAATACAACCCTAATACACATTGACATCATTTCATAGCTTTTTGGTACTGTTCAGAATCTTTGGAGGTGTCCTATGATAGTTACATGTCAGTTGATCTGTATTTTGCCAGGAGGATGTGGTCTTTCAGAATGGATGCACTCTGACTTCCCCTACACCTGATTTCTACCTTCTCTCTCTAGGCTGTAGATGCAGTGGAAGGTGTCCCTACACATGACAGTGGGGTTGGAACTAGATGATCTTTAAGGTCCCTTCAACCAAAACTATCTATGATTCTATGTGTCTATCAAAACGAGACCCAACTCTATCTTCCATAAAACCATACTCCACCTGGACTCTATACACCACTTTAACCCAGGCTTCTGAGGAATGTGTGATGTTTCCTCACTATCCCAGTAAAACACATCTAGCTTCATCTAAAAACAACTAACTTGAAAGAAAAACAATGCTGCGGTATCACCTTTTTTGTTTCTGTTTTGTTTCCTATGTTTAGAAATTTTTCAAGGAATATAAAATAGTCCTGAGACAGTGAAGTATGGTAACATGCAAATGCAGAGCTCTCAAATATTATAAAGGTAAGCTAAGCAGTGGAAATCATTTAAATGGCTGGGAAGTGAGTGCATGTTGGAATTCACAAAAATTCAGTTTGCAAATTCACTATTAGAAGACAGTTTCTAACACAGATTATAACTTGTTAACTGGCTTTAATGGCAGGCCACGTTCAAAAGTGTCTTCAAAGCTACAATTAAGAGGTTGAATCAAAGCAAAATGATTCCTAGTATGTTGTTTGATGAAATAGAATTAAGAAGAAGCTTGACAAATACCTTGTTTGAAGGAGTTTCCAGGTAGGGATTTGAAATTCTTCTGGACAGGGTCTGTAAAACAGTTTGGTAGAGCTTTAGTTTTGCTCTGATTTTTGTGAAGAAGCAGCAGTCTAGGCTGTTTTAGCTATTGAAAACTAAATAAAAAGAATTTATCAAATCATCTGTGCAGTCTAACTGAAGTCTCCAAATAATTTTTCTCACATCAGGAAAAAGGACTGGCAAATTCAGCTCTGTGGGGTTTTGCTACATTTATTCTTGAGACGGAAAAAAAGATGAGGTGGCAAAGTGTGTACACCACACACAATTATTTGGGTCAAGAAAGACCAAAAATGACAGGGAAGAATTTCAAGATAAACCTAGAAAAAGCTGGCTAAAACGACAGTATCATCATGAGCTCAACATTAAAAGTAGCATCTACTAGAGGGAGTAAATGTGATTACACATGCTCTAATAGCTCTTATAGCAAACTATCAATTTACTAAAAACACCCCAGGGTCACAGAACACTTCTCAAGGAAGACAACTCTCGCAAATGAAATTCTTAACTGAAGTTAAAAAAACATAGGATAAATGAGGAATAAAGCAGTGACCAATGGGAAGGTAACACTGCTTTAATGTAGAACAGCATTGTCCCTACCACGCCACATGCTGCACTGATAGCAGCATCTCAAAAAATTGACTCCCCAGTGTTAGAAGGGATTCAGACAATAACAGTAGTAGGAATAATAAAGGATCTGGATAAATTTTAATATGAGAAGAGACACAAAAGACTGCAACTATTTAACTTACAAAGGAGAGATTACAAGACACATAATGCAATTATACAAATCAACGAAAAGGCAGACGTTGTGCTCTGGTTTATGTAACTGAGAATAAATGACCACCAAATGAAATTTGAGAGAATTCATGTTTGAGGAGATAGAAAGGAAAATGACACATAATTCTTCACAGCAGGGAAATACAAATGCCAAAACCTTACCACTGATTGATAAAGACTGGGGATTTAAAGTTATAAAATTAACCGTGAACCTAAAATTCTGGAAGGCAAACAGAGCTAGGATAAACATCTCTTCTAGAGCCAGGTTGTTCCAACTTTACGCAACATGATACTTCCATATCTTGCCAGTGTTAAAAGACAAGATACTGTCTACTGTGATGCTTGCTGGCAACTTCTATCTTACTACAAGTCACACAAGACACAAATAAACATTGCCTAAAAGAAGTTTGGAAATGGAACAGAAGACGTTGTGCGGGAGTACTGGCAGCACAATAGGAGGATTGTGTGGTGGTCCCTCATATTATTCCAACTTGTAGGCAGCATAATTAATCCCTCACTTTGAGAAGGATCCAATTCCCACTTGGTATATTGCAATCATAAAAAAACCCCAACTCAACACCCTTCACACCCTGTAAGAATTACAGAATTTGTATTTCAGTAGTGCCACCTGTCTTTTTTTCCCCCTCTATATTCCTGTTACCGTATTTTTAGACAGGCAAGAGAAGTGACAAGGAACCACAGAAGCATCTAAAACTGTTTACCCTTCCACGCTCATCACAGATGGTAGTGTAGTTACATGTATAACAGTAGCTCCATATAGAAATACTATAACATAAAAGCTTAATTCCCCTCTCGTACCCAACAAAGATGCTGTAAGCACGTAACATTACCTCAGATCCCATTTACTTTTCCTAGCTGGCACATCTTTAACACCTTGGTTTTGCAGCAGTCTTAAATAACAGCACTTCACTTGGTTTCTGTCCAAGTCTTTCATTCAACAAGGCTCACTCACTGCAGCAGTACAGTAAAAACTTATACATCGATTTCCCCCTTCTCTGCTCCGTTCCCAAGATGGTGCTAATGATGTTATTTAACTTGTAATCAGCAAGTTAATTCCAGTGATGCCAGTGGGAACTACAGATCCTGACATTGTATTGTCCTGGTCCCTGGCATTCAGATGACGGCTGAGCCTCAGCCAGGGAAAATGCTGCTGCTGCAGGCTGCAGTTATATCACAATATAAAACCAAACTCAGCAAAAAAGGACAAATTTGATGGTCTTCTACAGAAGGTTACAGCTTTGGTGGATAACGGAAGAGCAACTGATGTCATCTACCTGGACCTGAGCAAAGCTTTTCATACTGCTGACCCACACACATCCTTGTCTCTAAAATGGAGAGACATGGATTTGCCAGGTGGACCACTTGGGGATTAAGGAATTGCCTAGATAGTCCCACTCAAAGAGCTGTGGTCAATGGCTTGATATCAGGATGGAGACCAATCATGAGTGGTGTCCCTCAGGGGTCCAGGACTAGTATTAATTAACATTGTTGGGGATTGAGTGTGCCCTCCGCAAGTCTGCAGATGACACCAAGCTGAGTGGTATGACTGTGGTGTGATCAACATTCTAGAGGGGAGGGATGCTATCCAGAGGGACCTTGAAAGGCAACAGAAGTGGGCCCATATGAAACTCATGAAGTTCAAAAAGGCCAGGTGTAAGGTCCTGCACCTGGGTTGGACAATACCAAACATGAATACAGGTTAAGCGATGAGTGGATTGAGAGCAGCCTGAGAAGGACTTAGGGGTATTGATTGATGAAAAACTGAATATGAGCCAGCAATGTGTGTTCACAGCCCAG